TAGATATGCCTACAACATCTGTGGCAGTGAGGACCTTTCTTTAAAATTTGATCCACAAAATTAATTTCCACATCCAAGAAGTTTCACAAAGTTCTTTCCAGAGTTCCACTATAAATACTAATCTTGTGCTTAGCTGTGCCTTGAAGGAGTTATTTTTATCTGTTGCGTGTTGCTGTGCTCCATGAATGGATATGTAGTGAGGAGATTGAATTTGTCTGTGGTAAATATTGTGAGATTGGATTTATGCATATGGGTCATTGGAGGGAGAGAGAGACAATGAGAGAGAGAAGATAATGGGGATTTCAGGTGGATAAATGGAAGGGTGGAGAAGGAGATGATGTAGAAATGTGAGGGGCATCAGGAGTGTTGGAACAGGGGAATAGGAAGAACAGGCAATTTGAAGAGCTTGACGGCATTTGCATTTAAACTGGGGACATATTGAGTCCAAACAAACAGCAGTTGGAGGATCATCCAGTCACAAACAATTCTGGTATTACAGCAGTATGAGGTTATTTTGCTGTGAACTTCTGGATTTCCCTCAATCGCATATCAGTGGTTGCATATGCAATAATGCTTCTCACAGCAGCAGAGGAGCTCACTGTTTTTCGTTGAGAGAGCGAATATAGTCATTACATCCACAGGTTCAGTCTTTTGCAAGGACTATGTGTTGTTGTAATGGCTGTTTTAATGGAAAAAACTGAAACACAAGAATAAGAATCACCATGTGTTTATAGCTCATGACTGGTACAGCGCTATCAGTACAAATATCTTTTGTTCATTTGTTTCTTTCAGGTATTTTTAGTTATATCTTTTGTTTGTTTTCTTAGTTCTTTCTTTTTTGTTTATTTTTAAATTTATTTGGGCACTACTTATTTTCCTTCCATGATTTTTTTATAAATATTTATGTTGTTTCTTTGCTCTTTCTGATATTTATACATTTGTTCGTTCTTTTGTTTGTTTTTGCATTAGTTCTTATTTTCCTTTCATTTGTTCGCCCTTTCTGATATTTATACTTTTGTTTGTTCTTTTGTTTGTTTTTGAATTAGTTCTTATTTTCCTTTCATTTGTTTGCTCTTTCTGATATTTATACTTTTGTTTGTTTTTGCATTAGTTCTTATTTTCCTTTCATTTGTTTACTCTTTCTAATGTTTGTTAATTCTTTTGTTTGTTTTTTCATTAGTTCTTATTTTCCTTTCATTTGTTTGCTCTTTCTGATATTTATACTTTTGTTCGTTCTTTTGTTTGTTTTTGCATTAGTTCTTATTTTCCTTTCATTTGTTTGTTCTTTCTAATCTTTGTTCATTCTTTTGTTTGTTATTACACTAGTTTTTTATTTTCCTTTCATTTGTTTGTTCTTTCTAATAATAGTTCATATGTCAGTTCTCTCTTTTGTTTGCTTTTGCATAAGTTCTTATTTACCAATAAGTTGATTGCTTTTTTTTCTCATTTTTGTTTATATGTTCATTCTTTCTTTTGTTTAGTTTTGTACTCGTTCCTATTTTCCTTTCATTTGTTTGTTCTTTCTAACATTTGTTTATCTAGACCTCAATTTTGGTTTGGAAAAAAAACATTCTGGTTGTTGGTGGAACATGTTGTTCTTGAATCAAGTCAAGATCTAGTCAAGATTAGATATTTTGTGGACAGGAGCCCCAAGCATGGTTGAAGCTTTCACTACAACACAGGTCATCCCAGTGAAACTGAACTGGCAGGGGCAGCTTCAATAACGTGAATGCTGTAGATACTCAACGCAGAGAGTTTTATTTTGCCTTGTCAAGCATTTAAATTATTGATTAATGTAATTGTTAGTGCTTTAAATAAAAGTTTTCTAAACCTCATCAGTTTTTTTTTCTTTGTATATTCATTAGCTCTTTCCTTCTTTTGTTTGTCTGTTTGTTTATAACAGAGCTATTCAGCTCAAGTCCTGGAGAGCGGCTGTCCTGCAGAATCTAGTTCCGACTCTAATCCAACACACCTGCCTGTAATTTTCTAATGATCCTGAAGACCTTGATTTGACCATCTTCAGATGTGGAGCTGAACTCTGCCAGACATTGGCATGGACGATTGAGTTGAAGAACTCCAAGTTTGTTCTTTCTTTTTATTTGTTTATTTGTTCTTTATTTTCCTTTCTTTCATTTGTTCATTTAGAATTTTGTTTTCTATTTCAACATGCTTATGTGAAACAAACACATACAGATACAAACACGAACATACATTGACACATCAACCACATGCTGCACACAAACACACTGTGGTTCTTGTGTATGTGTGGGCTCAGGATTGATTTGTTATGTATCATCCCGTTATCACACACACGCAAAAGAACGTGTTGTGCAAGCTAACAAGTTATATAAGATCTAAACCCATAAAACTCACAAAACCGACTATAAGGGTCTAAACTGAGCCACAGTTTACCTCTAAAGCCTATTTCCTTTCTAAATGCCTTCCTCTAGTCATTGAGACGTACGGCTCTGTGATTTGAGTGTGACTTGATTGAGAGTGTAGGACCTTGTTGTAAAGACGGGTAAGATTGCCAATTGGCAGTGTGAGCTGTACTTTGACTGGTGCTGGTTGGACCCTTAAGGGGATATTGAACACAAGCTGCAGAGCAAACTAAACACAGCTTATTAATGAGCTCAGGCAGACAAAAGAGAGAAAGAGAGGGAAGACAGTAAAAGTCACAGGCATTAACTGGAGAAACGACAGACATTTCTTTTTCCCCATTAGCGTCCTGTTTGCTTTTTTTAAACAAACTCACTCTTCGCCAAAAATCTAATTTTGGAGCTGAATGAGACATCTGCGATCTAAAGACACCTGGAGAAGCAGAACGTCTCCAGGCGGCTCAATCGGAGGAGCTAATAATCTTCATGTTGATCAAAGTGGCCTCACTGAGTATCGACTCAAGTGACAAGCATTCGTAAGACATTTAATGAGCAGCTCAGCTGAGTAGCATTCAAATTAAATGTCCAAACACAACATGCTCAGATACTTGTGCTGATCTATTCTGTAGAATGCCTCATTGAAACATGAGTAATGGAGTTTCCATTCAGCAGTTTGTACTGTGAATCGTGGGCTGTTACACCTGCAGTCTAACAGCAGAATGATACACACTAGCTGTATTATTACAAATCACAACTAAGATGAAAGAGAATTGTGCTTTACACGAACGAGTGAATGTGGACAAGCTGTCTAGGTGACTTCTAGGTTAAGCCGCATGAAGGCATTACGCCTGTAGGCCGCCCGCAGTCCATTCACTGACTGTCTGATTCATACTGCTCAAAGAACTAGAAAGGACTCAATGTGGCAAGCTCTAATCTGATTGGTTGACATAACACAAATTACAGGTGTAAGAGTACACCGGATACACACTTTTTTTTATTAGTCCACCTGGAAAAAAGTTGTGTTTACAAGGTACTGGGTGGATAAAATGAGCACTTTTGAGGAGTAAATAAATCTTATTTAATTGGAGGATTAAATAATCACTGGATTAGTTACTTCATGCTTTTAGATTGATGGGATTGCAGATTCGTTATGCACATTGCATTTACAATTCCACCTAAACGTGTCTCCTCAAAACGGATATAAATTAGATCTACTCTTCCGGTGCTAAATGCAAATGCTAATGTAATACCAGGCAATGTAATTTTCTGTTGAACACTCTCTCCACTTAACAAACATTTGCATGAGAACATAATTCCATTTTAGAGAAGGAAAGTTTTTGCATGTGTTTATACACGTTTTAGCTCTCTAATCAGTAAAAAAAAATTGTAAATACCCCCAAAGTTAATGGCCAGGTTAGTGGCATTAAACCTTTGAAAGACACTTGTTAACAGACACTTAACTAGATATAACTAGATAATAAACTAGATATTAAATAAAACAAAAATCAAATAAAAGCAAAAAACAAACAAAGCGAAACAAAACAAAAGTAAAAATCTAAATAAAAAGGCAGATCAAAGCACAGCAAAGTATGGGCGTGAATCTGCACTGGTTTCACAATTCAATTCAATTACGATTATCATGTCAATGATTCGATTCAATTCGATATCACGATGCATCACGATGCGTTGCACCCTAATTTTTAAAATAATTACAAATTAATAATAAATCAAAACAATTGTTAAGAATTTAAGCAACTAAACATAGCTTCAAAACATACAAGCAAATATAAAGTAATAAAAGGGGAAAAAGACAATTACAAGTGATAAACAAAAAGTACTTTCAGTATCTGAGAGTGCTTTAAGTATCCGAATGTTTACAGACAATCATAGTTATGGGTTTTTCTTTTTTCCTCAGCATTATTGCTGTTTGAATATTACTGATGAGATCATAGACAGAGGCAGCTTCAAGAGGCTGCATTCACACTAATGCACAGATCTATTTCGACATATCAGATGTTTTGTCCTGTTCTGTAAACATAACTGACTGTGTTATCAATTTCGTATCATAAAAGTATTCAGAGATGCTAGTGCAATTAACCCGAGCCGTGAGCTTCAGGACAACAAACACAAAGCGCACTTGAAAGTCTGTCAGTACGTGAGTTTCACACATGTGTCATATTCGGGAAAAAAACAAGCTCAGAACTGATTCTGAAATGTTTAGAATCGATTCAGAATCACTGAAGAGAGAATCGCGATGCATCGGAGAATCAATTTTTTCTCCCACCTCTACAGCAAAGCAAAAAACAAAAAAATAAGAAAAACAAAAATACAAAAAAAAGGAAAACAAAATAAAAAAAATAAAAATAAAATAAACGCAAAACAGCAAAAAACAAACAAACAACAAACAAAATAAAAAGTGAAACAAAAAAGCAAAGCCAAGCAAAACATAAAGTGCTTGGAGAATGTGAATGAAATTGAAAAAGTGGTTGGTGACGTTACACATTGGTCAAAATGGTCTCTTCCCGCTCAGAATAAGCTGCAGTGTATCCCAGACCTTTTTGTCATTTGGCATAAAATCTGGCTATGTGAGACTGACTACATGTGACTTTAAGCAGAACTGACCATGGTATGTGCGATTCCACATCCTCTTATTGATAACGTCCCCTGGGGGCCTCACACCTGACCGATCCAGAGTCTCATTTAGGGCATGAGAATACAGCATGACTCCATCGTGGAATGAGCCAGAAATCAGATTCATCTGGAAGAGAGGAAGTGCACAAATTACATACTAGCATTAAATCTCTAAATAACTGGGGTTTGATTAAATTTGATTACTTTTATTAGATTACAAGCTCTCTAGAGATCATAGTGATAGAAAAGTTGACAGCATCGCAAGACTGTAATTCGATGACCCACACAAGACTGTGTGCTAAGAAAAATGGCAGCATTCCTAATGCTGTCCGTCATTCTCCTGTGGCTCGACTCACCTCTGCTTCACTGTTTAATATCACAAATTCCTCCTAAATATGTTGAAATGCATCCTGCTTCTCCTGCTCCATGTGTTTATTTAAACACATGGAGTATTTGTTTGATAATGGAAATACATTCTAAAATGGTGATAAGGAGTTAGTCACTAAGAACTATTTCAAACTTGTTATTTACATGAGGAGGAGCACCACTAATTCTCAGAACTGAACCCACACCCTAAAGTGCAGAATATACAGTTAATATACATCTGAATTCAGTCATATTTATTAAATAAAACATTATTTTTGTCCTTGTCACTGTGTGTTTAACTTGCATGAAGCCTGAAAGATGTCTCTTTGTCACAACGAGTGAATTCATTCCATAATTCTATTAGTTCATAAAAAATATATATGTGACCCTGGATCACAAAACCAGCCTTAAGTTGCTGGGGTATATTTGTAGCAATAGCCAAAAATACTTTGTATGGGTCAAAATGATAGTACCAACGGAAAGCTTATTTATTCAGCTTTCAGATGATGTATAAATCTCAATTTTGAAAAATTGACAATTAAGACTGGTTTTGTGGTCCAGGGTCACATATTGCAAATATCTAAATATGTATTTCAGCATGTTTTTTGTTAAGCTCAGCATGTCTTATGTACGTCTGCTATGCAGTATTGCACGGCTCATGATCTCTGTGTGATTGCTGTAACCTGTTCATATAGGCAAAGAAATTAACAAGCAGCGCTAACATAGGCAGTGTGAAACAGACGTGATAAAGCCAATCTAGGGTTGACTGATCCATCATTTACTGAGAAACAGGAGCTTGATTTTGGGACTGTATAGGTGTGTGTGTGTGTAGTCCTGGTATTCCCTATGTTATGGGGACCAAATGTCTCCACAAGTATATTAATATACTTAAATTTTGACCTTGTGGGGAAATTTTTTGTTCCCCATAAGGAAAACTGCTTATAAATCATACTAGATTAAGTTTTTTTAAATTCTAAAAATGCAGAAAATTTTGTGTGGTGGGTAGGTTTAGGGTAATGAGATAGAAAATACAGCTTATATAGTATAAAAATTCTTACGTCTATGGAATGTCCCTATAAAACATAGAAACCCAACATGCGTGTGTGTGTACCAACTTAACCATATGTTAGAGATTAATTTGTACTCAGAAGTGAGCTAAATGTGACAAAACCTTCCAAAAACTCCTTTGGGGATGTCCTCTGTATAAAAACTAATTGTTTTTTAACAATTGTAAAAATGCAGGAAGTTTTCTGTTAGTGTTAGTTTATTTATAGCTGAACATAAAAAACAACAGAAGTCTATGGTATGTCACATTGCCATCAGGTGCTGAAATTTGCAAAATTATGGCTTTATACCACATAATATTTTTGGTACAGCTATGTTTTTAGTACTGGTAAATGACACAATACTAGATTCAAACCCTGCATCCCTGTGAGCCCAACCTCTGTTACATATCAAAAACATGTGCACGAACTTCCCATAACTCTGAGAAGACCGCTCACCACCTTGCCGGTTGATGTACGCAACGGTCACAGTGTTGTCCATATGGACCAATATGTGCTTGCCGTACATATTGCCGCACGTAACTGCCCTTTCAGGCGGCCCAAAGCAAGACGTACTGCTAGCAACTCGAGGCAGTTGATGTGCCAATGCATTTGGGGGCCCATCTAAACACCTGACACTGCCTGCCCATTGAATGTGGTCCCCCAGCCGGTGGCAGAGGCATCCGTGTGTACCACAGTATGCCTGTATACATGCTCTAGTGGCACTCCTGCTCTAAGGAACGCAGGGTCTGACTACGGGCTGAAAGTATGGTGGGAGGCCGGTGTGATTTGCACCCGGTGAATGCCACGTTGCCATGCCCATTCAGCCTTGGAGCAAGTGCTGAAACGGTCTCACATGAAGCAGCCCCAGCGGTGTGACTGCCACTGCAGCTGCCATATGCCCCAGGAACCTCTGAAACAGCTTCAGTGGGACCGCTGTCCTGTCTTTGAACGAATTCAAGCAGTTCAACACTGACTAAGCACATTCCTCTGTGAGGCATGCTTTCTGTTCGACCGAATCTAGCTCCATACCGAGAAAAGAGATCCTCTGCACAGGGGAGAGTTTGCTCTTTTCCCAGTTGACCCGAAGATCTAACTGGCTGAGGTGGTTGTGCACCAGATACCTGTGTTCGCACAACTGATCCCGTGACTGTGCCAGTATGAGCCAGTCATCAAAATAGTTGAGAATGCGAATGCTGAACGCCGTTCTCTCATGGGAACATGGGCCGACTCAATGACTTTCGTGAAGACATGGGGAGACAGGTACAGACCGAAGGGCAGGACCTTGTACTGATATTCTCGTTCCTCAATGCAAAGCGCAGGAACGGCCTGTGTTGAGGGAGAATCGAGATATGAATATACGTGTCCTTCAGGTCGGTCGCTGCAAACCAATATCGGGCACGGATGCATTCGAAAATGCATTTCTGTGTCAACATTTTGAACAGTAGCTTCAGAAGGGCTTGGTTCAAAACTTGTAGGTCCAAAATTGGCCGTAACCCACTGCCTTTCGTGGGTACTATGAAGTAGAGGCTGTAAAACCCTGCCTTCATATTGGCTGGAGGGGCCGGCTCTATCGCGTCCTTCGCCAGTACGACTGCGATCTCTGCACGCAAGACATGAGCATTGCCAGACATCATTGATGTTAACTGGATGCCCCTGAACTTGGGAGGACGCTGGGTGAACTGAAACATATAGCCGAGTCTTATGGTCTGAAGGAGCCAGTGAGACAGGTAAGGGAGCGCTAACCAGGCTCTCAGAGAACGTGCAAGTGGGACCAGCGGAACCACAGACATCCCCGCAGTGGGGCAGTGAGGTGGAACACAGGGACCCAGCTCGGGGGGTTCAGTGGAGGCCTGAAGCAGGGTCTGAGTGTGCAGTGCATCATTTAACTGGTTCCACGGTTGGGCAGAGGGTGCACAAGGAGGTCTGATTGCACTCTCGAACCACCCACTGCTGCCCGTTGGCGATAGAGGATGAGAGTGGTATGGTTCTGCACTACTTTCCGTGCCCTCATGGGACCCAGAGATAGAGGAAACTGCTCTTTTGTCGAGAATTTCGGAACAGAAGGAAAACTAAACAAAAGATTCTCCACCCGGCTCTCCTCCGAGGGAGGGAGTGGTGCGATCACTATCTCTTAAAGAGCTGCTTCCTCCATCTCTGGGTTGCCTGTCTCAGGGCCTCTTAACTTTCCGCTTGCCGCCAGGTTTGACGGGGGCCTGGACAGGCTGGGCAGCCTGCCTACGACCGGCTCCACGGCGCTGCTTAGCTGAAGGCTGCTGCTGTAGTGCGGGGGTGGACGCAGTGGATCGCCCTTGGCGACAAGCAACTGAGGCGCTGCGGCCGGCGGTCGGGGGGAGGCAGCAGCTGTCCGCCAGGGCAGGATGTGTTTTATGGCCTCTGCTTTTGTGCAGCAGAGAACTGCTGGGCAAAGCTCTCGACCGTGTCGCCGAAAAGGGTGGTCTGGGACACGGGGGCATTTAAAAACCTGATCTTCTCGGCATCCCTCATGCCGGCCAGACACAGCCAGAGATGGCATTCCTGGACCATGAGCGTGGACATCACATGACCCAGCGAACGCGCAGTGACCTTCATTGCTCGAAGCGCGAGATCAGTTGCCGTCGGTAGCTCTTTCAGAACCGCCAGGTCATGACCACCCTCGTGCAGGTACTTCAGTGCTTTAGCCTGATGGACCTGAAGCAACACCATAGCGTGCAGGGCAGAGGCAGGACTAGTACTTACAAGCCCGGGAAGGGAGACACGGTTTTCCCTGCCAGGTGGAAGCGGTATTTGGACACAATTGCATCGCAACTGACCGCTCCACCGGGGGGACCCTTGTATACCCCTTAGCTGCACTACCGTCGAGGGTGGTGAGGGAGGAGGAACCAGCAGATCGGTTTCCGGCAGTAAAAAGTGCCGTTCATGACCTGGTGAGCTCCTCATGCACCTCCGGGAAGAAAGGCACTGAGACGGGGCGCTGAGAACCAGCGCGAGCCACCCCCAGAAACCAATCGTCCAACCTCGAGGGCCCGGGACGCGGTGGAGGTTTCCACTCGAGCCCTA